ACCTTCCGCACGGAACTTTATCGTTCCACCAAGATAAATTACAACAAGAAAAAAGAAAAGGAGTAATTGACGTTGGCAGGGGAAAACATGAACGCCCCGCCGGACCGAGTTGCTGGGGGACAGTTCCTCGTCCTTGCGGCGCTTCTGTTTCCCTGGGACAGCAAGTAACTCCACCCCCGTGCGAGGGGTAACCCCTTTTGTGTTGAGCCTAGGGCCTGGGACGTCCTGGACAAGGACCTTGAATTCCAGGCCCAGGACTAATGTCCGACCAACTAACATCATTGAGTAAAGAAAAACGTAGGCGTGCGGTCGCATAGCCCTGTGAGGGTTACCCGAGCGTACGCCTACTCTGACTATCACATTATCAGGATGGAAAAAAAAACAATCTCACTCAAACAAAAAGTTGTGGGTAGTTCACTCTCACGACAGTTGTGTGGTTTGCCCATCTGAATCCAAAACATAATCATTCACCAAATACTTAATCGAGATTCTCCCATACATACCTGCAATCATACGCACAACATTCAAACAACATCACACACACTAAAGGGGTCAACTTTCCAACCTTCTATAACTCACACCCTGCCTTATGCACGCAAGCCCAACCTTTTCCCCACCAATCCTAAAAAAAAATACTAGGTCTTTAAGAAATGACCATTTATGAAGAAACGGGGTAAACCCTCCCAAAAAAAGCATAAATCCCGGCAAGGGCAAAGACTTTAGCTTGAGAGGCACGAGAAATACGAAAGTTGAGTCGTAAACCGACGAATCGACAACCGACCTGTTATCAGTGATAACAGAAGAGTGATCCTTTTGAAGGATTAGGCTGATCAGATCAAGCCTTCAGGGGAAATACGGAGACCTGCAACAGAGTACAGGCCAAAAAAACCACTACTATGTTCATGTCAAAAAAAGAGAATACTCTCCAAGTCGTAATCCTAACTCCTCTACTATTCTCATCGTCAGCTCTCGTTACTAGTACCAAGTCACTAAGCCTCTCCTCTATTCAGGATGGATCTGCCGGGAAGCTCCTTGTTAAAAATATTATAACTCATTAAATTCTACGAAATTTCGGCAGCGCTTCCTGTAGAAAAAGTGCCTTTTGAGAATTTCTACGAGTCCAAAAATAACTAACTCTTTCAGATTTGTAGAAATTTCGGCAGCGCTTCCCGTAGGAAAAGTGTCTTGTCATAATTTCTACGAACCTAAAAATAACTATCTCTTTTAGATTTGTAGAAATTTCGGCAGCACTTCCCGTAGGAACATGAGGCTGTCAAAATTTATACAAAGCTGAAAAACAAAAAGACAAAGCAAGCTATACTTGGGATTATCTTCAGATACCTGCTTGATGATTCAGAATCGCTCACAGCCCGCACGACCTCTAGATGAGATTGTGACCTAGCCTTGATCCTAAGTCCTAGCAGGGTCAGTCCTATCTTCATCCCAAGTTCTCCCTCCCACCATCCATCTCATCTATCTATGGCTCCAGCACTTGGCGATCGTCTAAGCAACTAACCTATCGAAAAAGACACCGCAGGGTGAGACCTCACAAGCATGCATAAGCAAACATCTCTCACAATCCCATATTTGTTTGACCCAAGTAGTTCGTTAGATCACTGAGTTATTTTTCCCTTAGTAGACCCCTTTGCCTATGGCATAGGATCAGACAACGCCCTAACTTAAGGGTATGCCCAACACCACATCGACTCGAGTCATATAACATATGACCAGACCGCCCTAACTTAAGGGTACGCCTGACTTCTACTTAACGAACAACATGAAGCATAAAACTAGACTGCCCTAACTTAAGGGTATGCCTAGTTAGCTCTAGACAAAGTTACGTAGGGTATAAGATTAAGTTGCCCCAACTTAGGGATCTGCCTAACCTGCCTAAAACAAGTACGAACGACGAATGGTCAGACCGCCCTAACTTAAGGGTACGTTCAACCTACATAACGTCAACGACAAGAGCATATCACTAGGCCGCCCTAACTTTAGGGTACGCCTAACTAGCTTAAACAGTTTTATGTACATAAGACAATAGGACCAGGCCGCCCTAACTTAAAGGTACGCCTGATCTGCCTGAACAATCACAAACGACGTATGACTAAGCCGCCCTAACTTAAGGGTACACTTGGTCTCCGCAACGACAATATAAGAGAACAACCATTGATATACTTGCACAAACTTTATATGTTTCTCTCTTATTAGACAGATGATTAGACCTACCCAGCTTAGGGAGACATTCAATCCTGCCTTGTGTTTAGAAGGGGAAATAAAAGAAGATTTATACTAACTCCTTGCTTCTTCATATTATAACGAGCATAAGACTAAACCGCCCTAAATTAAGGGTACACTCAGCCTGCCCGAATTACCTTGCTTATATTCTTTATTTGCTTTTCTTTTCTTCTTGTTCTACCTGACTCATTAACTGGATTTCCCAACTTAGGGTGCCCGGTCTGTCAGATGATATAAGTTCGTATAATATGTATCAAATTTATACTCTGGTTCACCATTAAGTTCATGGCTCATGGCTAAGCCGCCCCCACTTAGGGCTACGCCTAGTCTTATGTCGTTGTCCCCCTCAGAAGAAACACACACAGAACTGGGTTTACACAACTTAGAAAATTTCTAGTTCTGTTTTTCAGCAACCTAAAAGAAACATCAAGATTCTGAGTCCTCCCAACTTAGGGTGTTCATCCTCTTGTTCAGAAACCCCAAAAAGAAACAAGTGACCAGACCGTCCAACTTAGGATAGGCCCTGCCCAAAAAGATCATACAGTCAGCCAATCAAACATAAATAAAACATAGCACTGAGCCCACATCAGCTTAGAGGAGCTCAGCCTTGGGTTGATACAGTCAAACGCATGCAAAACACCTTCATCCTACCTTCCCCAGGGTCATTCTGTCTGAATTCACTCAAAGGAAATGTCTGATTTCTCACATATAATTGTTGATTTATCTTTCACAATGCATGTCCTGACATATATAATAATAAAAGAAATATCCATACATAGCTATATTCAGATAACCCAAGGATAACAGTTAGGGGGAGGGATCACACGTGTCAAACGGAAGTTATACGTGAAGTTCCTTGCCTCCAGAACCCCGCCTGGGTTCCGGCAGAGCTTCCGCAATCGGTGGGAGAACCTCCCACAAGGTCTTGCTGCGGTCCTACGGGTTGCAATCCCGCATGTCGCCTTCCTCTCGTAACCTTAGACTAGACTTAGAGTAAGAAAGGTAGAAGGAGATAGGTTAGACTCTCGAGATCCAAGAGTGGGACAACTCAACTCACAGTGAGAAAGCCTCGCTATCTTCAATCTCCTGAGGGCCCCGCAATGATGGTCAGGAAAACGCAGAGAGAAAAGTCCAGTCTTTGCCGAAACTCTGACTAACAGCTCCCTGATTAACTCTAGATTGCAGCAGCGACACCGCCGTTAAGAGAAATAGTAACGGTGTACTGCGGTAGTGCACTGCAAGGGACAGTCCTCAGCACAACATTAACCCACAGCAGTGAACCACGTCCTGCTCTACTGTATTGCACTGCAAGGAACATCGTCGGCTCAGCAGTGACGCACAGCTGGGAACAACGTCCTTCACAACAAAAGCAGCAATCAGAATACTTCCTCCACACCAATGCTCTGAAAACTACAGCCTATTGCTTGCTAAATGTGGTAGCAGCAATTGTATCACAGTAACAACGGAAGATGTTTCTGTCACCGTAGATATGTACGCATTGTACGGTAATAGCTCAGCAATATATCTAGTAGCCTGACGCAGAGACCAACAATATGCCCACCAGAAATTCAGTCGCGATTCGGAGCACAGGCTGTAATCCTGAGGCACAGGGTGTAACCTGAAGACAAAGACTTCAACCTCTTGACTGGGGTAGAGATCACCGCACAAGGGCACCTGCAACGACAACTGCTAAATAAGTGAAACAACAACTCCTGATTACAACAGTTCGTTGTGATATGAATCAGCAGCATCAGGTCACAACCCCGGACTGCCAACCCAGACCCCGAAGGCGCCCGACTTGTCCTCATCAGCATCTTTTCCCTGCAGTGCCGACTGGCTGACGATTCTTGCCCAGGGTTCAAAAGGTCAAGACGTGGTCGGACCCCAACTGGTTATCAGACGAATCCTTTTTCCAGCAGTACTGATTGGTTGAGTCTCCTCGCCCCCATGTTGTTGAACACCTTCAGACCCCGGAGGCGCAGAACTTGAGGTGGGGAGCATCCTTGTGAATCCTGCAGTACGGACCGGCGGAGACTCCTCGCCCCCATGTTCAGCACGTCCAGATTCGGACGGCGCACAACTTGTCGTCGGCAGCATCCTTTTCTGAGCAGTACCGAGTGCTTGAGGCCCCTCCCCCCCATGTTGTTCAACACCTCCAGGCCCGGGGACGGGGGCACAACTTGTCGTCCGCAGCATCCTTGTTCCTGGCATATCGACTGGCGGAGACTCCTCGCCCCTCCCCCCGTGTTCAACACCTCCAGATCCGGACGGTGCCTGCTGAGGACAAGCCGCCTCGCCTAGGTCTCCCATTATCTCCGCTATCGACTTAAGAATGAACTGTTTGGACTGTATACTGGACATACTTCGCTTCCGCCATCCAATCTCCAGCGGCATTGTTCCTCGTGTATTCACGGAAGAGATCTCAGGTTTGGCCACCCTGCCTTGCCGACGGATTCGAAGGCAAAGAAAGCCACGCTGGCGATAGTGCTAACCATGGCAAGCGATAGGATAGGCACGCCGATGATGAGCCAGAGGTTGTGGGAGTGCGTTTTGGACACTATGGCCGAAAATAGATTGTCCGGAAAAGACGAAGAAGCAGGTGAAGCGGAGGTGGACGCCTCCGGGTTAGAGAGGGAAACCGGAGGAATCGAGGAGAGGGTTTCGGTAGAAGATGCAGGAGAAGAAGAAAGAGAGGAGGGAGTGTTGGGAGGGACGGAGAGGCGAGGGAGTGAACCTGAGGTAGGTGGTGAGCTTTCCGCCGGAACGCTGGGTGGCAATGGCGTGCTGGCCGCACAGGCATGCAGTTTGGAGCTGTCTATTTGAACTTGAACAGGTTGCCTCCGACGAACAAGAACAGCTCGCCTCCGTATTCATGAAGCGCCAGCCCGTGGAAGCGGTCGTCAGGGATTGCTGCCACAGTCACTACACTGTGCGCCGTGCTACATGGAGAGTCCAGCTTCAGCCAACGTAGAAGACCTAGCTTGCCATCCGTGGCAAAGATATTGCATCCGTCTGCAGTCGCCACCACATCACCTGACCATTCGAATGACGAACCATGCCCATCATTGCCTTCGGCATCCCCTCCTCCTTGGCCATATTCTGCAATGAGTGTGGCAGCGGATGTTGAGGAGGAGGAGGAGGAGGATAACAAGGGATCGATTCCCTAGACACGCGAGTTGATTCGGTCCAAGAAGTACATACACCTCCCGTCTGCAACGAACGTCTGTCTGCGAAAGGACACGTCGGATACGTTAAGATCCCCTCTGCTAGAAAGTTCATTGATAGTTCGCCATTCTTTCGACGAATTGATGGGCAGCCCGGACTCTCCTACGGCCGTGGAAAGGATCTTAATGGGATGAACGATATCTGCAACGAACAGGTGCGTTCTATTTGGATTGAAACTGACACCCGAATAGACATCAGCTGGGGCAGTGACGGACACGTGGCTGCCGTTGGTCGTGGAAATAGCAGTGATCGTCGGCTTATCTCCTGCTGTCCCTGTGGGACTCGTCCCGACGATGAGATGTGCCCCACTTGCCGTCAAGTCCATGCCCCAGGAGATTGCCATCGAGATGGTTGGGTCCGTGCTGACGTGAAGAACAAAGGGGGAGGCTGCTGCCCCACCTGCGGATTCGGCAGATGGCCACCAATAGGTAATCACTTGATTCACTTCGTTCTCGGCGAGGGATTTCGGTCCCTGGTTGGCCTGCTCTAGTAGATCCGCTTTCCTGATCGACAGGCGTCTGATATCGATAGCCCGAGGCTGCTCGCCAAGAACACAGTAGTCATCGAGAACGAAGTAAGACTTGGTGGAGTTGGACGCAAACACTACGTCGCGAAGCGCTGAGTAACAGGACGTGTTGATGCTGGGAAGAAAGGGCTTCACAGGCTGGTGCCACATTACTCTTCTGTCTGCAGCGATAGGCGACTCATCGGGTTGCAGCAGTCGGTTTAGCACCTTACAGCCCAATTCCTTGGGCGTGACAACGCCAGAGACATCGCCTTCGCCCTCTCGAACGATACTGGGGAGAATATCACCCGAGCAGATATTGTCCGGTCGCGTGCCCTTGGCCCCCTGCCCAATGCAAGCCGCAAAAAGCATCACCAGAACAAAAAGCGGACAGGCAAGAGGACGACGAGGGCGGTGACGAAAGACAGAAAGAGGGAGAGACATGGACAGCAAGCGGGAGAACGAACAGAGTGAGGACAGAACTGTGCACGCGGGGATCAGGGCCCTATTCGCGGGGATCGGGACCGATTCGCGGGAATCGCACACTCAAAGAATGGCTCCATGACCGACGAAAGCAGAGAGAGACAGTGCGAAAGGAGAGAGAGACAGTGGGCCTTGTTGAAGAAGGAGAGAGAGACAGTGCACCTTGTTGAAGAAGGACAGAGAGACTGTGCGCCGTGTTGAAGAAGGAGAGAGAGACAGTGCGCCTTGTTGAAGAAGGTGGACACTGGATAAGTCACTTTGGCGAGAGAAGTGGGGGGCGATGACGAGAAAGAAGGTCAGTAAGAGACGCCAATCGGGTCCAGGGAGCAGGAAAACCCACGGACAGAAAAGATATTGCTCACCTCTGATTCATCTTTCAACATCCCCGAACGATCGAAGAACCTTCACGGTCGTCTTCAAAGAGAGAAACTGAATGGCCAACAAAGAGAGAAAAGTGTAAAAACTGCCTCCATCTCGGTCGTCTTCAGTGTAAAAACTGAATATGGCGCCAGCGGGTCGACACGTGTCAGAACCATCACCAGACGAGGCGATCATGACGCCACTATCACTGTACTATGCCTTCATCCTGAATCTTTATGGTGTTTGGTATAGCGTGGCCATGTGTGACGTCTGTCTCATAATCCGTCGATCGCTCCGTCAACTGTTCATTGTTCCTCTCTCTCTCTCTCTCTCTCTCTCTCTCTCTCTCTCTCTCTCTCTCTCTCTCTCTC